TGACTGTGTTGAACGCTGCTGTTAGATCTAATAACAGCAGCAGTGCCGACCTGCCCTAAACCAGATGTCTACAGAAGTCATCTGCAAGGGTGACCAGAGCCATCTCTGTCCCATGGCCGGGGCAGAAGCCAGACTGTAAAGGATCAACGATGGAAGCAGCATCCAGGAAAGCTTGGAGATGTTTGGCCACCATTCTCTCAACCACCTTACCCAGGAATGGTAAGTTTGACAATGGGCAGTAGTTGGCCAGGCCCATAGGGTCCAGTGATGGTTTATTTCAAGAGCAGATGAACTACCACCTCCTTCAAAGCCCCTGGGCAAGTCCAAGTAGAAAGGGACAAGTTGAAAATTTCCACCAGAGGGACGAAAATGCCCTCCCCGCAGGACTTCACTAGCCAAGAAGAGCATGGGTCAAAAAGGCAGGTAGTGGGCTTCACTGCTGCCAAGATCCTATCAACTTCCTCCTGGGAGAGTCGGCCAAAGTGGTCCAATATCGGACCCAAAGATGGACAGGGGGCTCCCAGTTCCCTTACTGTCTCAATTGTGGTTGGGAGATCCTGGTAGAGCATCACAATCTTATCTGCAAAATAACTCGTAAATGACTCATAGCCAATTGCCAATTCCATACTATTTGGTCTGCCCTGCAGCAGAGTCATAATAGACTGAACAATTCTAAATAATTGGGCCAGGTGTGAGCTCGCAGATGCAATAGAGGCTGCATATAAATCTTTCTTTGTGGCCTTCACAACCATTTCATAGGCTTTCATAAGCATCCTATAAGATGTTCATGATGCTTCATCATGAGCATGTTGCCACCTTCGCTCTAGCCGTCTTAGCTCTCACTTCATTCTCCACAACTCCATGGTATACCACAGGTGTAGAGGATGTAGAGGGCACCAGGGGCAATCTCATTGATGGCTTCAGAGAGCCAGTGTTCCCAGTCCTCCACCAGCTCATCTAATGAGCCGCCAGGGAGCACTGGATTCTGCAGAGCTTCCTGAAGCTGATTAGGGTCCATTTGGCTCAGTGGGTGAGCATAAATGCACGCCCTGCCTAAACAGGGCAGATGTGGCATGCTCAGCCAGACCTTCAGGGTGAAGTGGTCAGACCATGGGACTACCTCTGTAGACATCAGATCCACATTTATCCCTATTCCAAAAATCAAATCCAGCATGTGGCCCGCTTGATGCATGGGGGTTGATATAAACTGGGAGAGTCCCAGTGCCTCCATGGACGACACTAGGTCCCTGGCCTGAGAAGACACCACATTGTCAGCATGGCCATTGAAGTCACCCAGGACCAGGATCCTGGGATACTCCAACGCCCAACCCAATACAGTATCTAACAGGTTTGACAGGGTATCTGCTGGTGCATTAGATGGTCAGTACACCAGCCAGGTAGCCAAACTCTCCTCGACATCACATGCTAGGCCAACACATTCAATGCCGGAGAATACATTGTAGTCTACCTTTTTAAAAATATGTGCTATTACAGTCATAAAGGTCAGATAAGAGTTATAAGCAATGACTTAGAATATCAAGAAAAAAGACACATCTACCTCGCACACACACACACACCAATTGAGTTAATTCTGATCATTAATTTTAGATTAATCAGTGCCTAGGGGGAGGGGAATATCAGCAAGACTGGAGAAAACAGGAAGTAATTAATTAGTCTGGGAAAAAGGAGGACTGCAGGAAGGAGATTGCTAAAGAATATTTTCTATGGACTTTAGATTTAGGGATGGATTTTTATGAGAAATATAGCACTCTTAAGTGCTGTGTAGAGCTCCCATTTCAATTCTGCTTGTAGCTGAATGCAGAAAAGGAATCACTAAGCATAAGCAACACAAAGTTTGAGTGAGGAATCACTCTGGTTATACTATATTTTCTATAGGTTCAAAACCTTGTGGAATAGCAAGAAGAAATTATACTGCTTAACTTTCTTAAAATACACAAATTCAAATCTACATTTAGCACACACAAAAAAGAACATATTCACACAGGTAAACTGACTGATTGTATAAAGCATTAGTATGTTTGGGGGGGGGGGCTCTACCGAACTAGTGTCTCAGCAGAACAAGAATTCAGCGGGCATTTTGCAAACTCCTTGCCTGTATTTAGAATAAATCACAGCATATTTAGTTGTATTCAATTTCTAAAGGATGACAGTAACCCAAACAACTGCTATGTGCTGCCAATATTTGTTTAGTTATTATTCTTGGTATTCAAGAGCAAAGAAATTAAAAATCTCTTTAAAGTCCACATCTGATTATGATTTATTGGAAAAAAACAAAACTGTACATGTGCTGCTGCTTTAGCTTACAAATGAAAGCCAAAGCAAACAGCACCCACTGTCTATTAAACAATATAATTCAATATGCATAAATGAACTTTACTCAGAACTTGCTCAGGACCTTATTCATACTTGCATGAATTGGAAGGAAGTTTACCAAGGTCATTGATGAATATGCAATATTAGGGACTCCTGAAACTTCAAGGCCAGACAAAATATTTCAGTGCCAAAGCTGGAAAATCCAAAAAGCTCCAGTCCCAGTATAAATCAAATGTTAAATAACTAACCATGTTGAGCCCCCCGAACTGGATGTCTGATGTATTCACTGTATTCTGATAGGGCTAGGCTGACCACTGTCTTGATTTTGCAGCAGAAATTGACAACTGTTCTCATGAATGAAGGCTCAGCAACTCCTTGCAGATAATGTACTGCAGCCTTCTGCTCTAGAGCAAGATCCATAGAACCCAAAGCAATTTTAGCTCATATACTGCAGTAACAAAATTTGAGTCCAGAGGCCCCTTTAAGACCAACAAAGTTTTATTCAAGGTATGAGCTTTCATGTGCATGCACACTTCCACAAATACAAATGTGAATGCACACAAAAGCTCATACCTTGAATAAAACTTTGTTGGTTTTAAAGGTGCTACTAGATTCAAACTTTGTTCTGCTTCAGACTAACATGGCTGCCCACCTGGATCTAATTGCAGTAACAAGTTTGCCATCATAGGCAGTGGAGAGTGCAGGATGTATCATGGCAAAAATACCTTGAATCTATTGAATAAACACAGCCACAGGTACTTCTTATTCTAAAAAAAACCCCTACTAACATAGGTAAGTGGGAAAAAATCTGTGAATTCACCCATTTCACTCCAGAGCAATTAACTAATCCAGATGGGTGGAAAACAATTTCTTATAGTGGTGAGGAGGCTCTGGCCATGAAAGCAATGCCTTCTGGAAAACATTATTTGATTTTAAAATAATTATATTTTATTAGCAACATTAATCCATTATTTTCTGCTTCAGCTTGCATCTTTTTTAGTTCTAGTGGCCCCTTACCAGAGTGAAATGAACATTTAGTGTACTATTCCTTCCATTCATGTATCCATGTCAGTTATCAAGTCTTCTTTTCCATGATTAGATACCCAGGTTTCCAGTTTGTAAAACAATGCTAGACAAGGAGTATAGACAGCTGTCATGCATGACTTTTTAAAACTTCAAGCCAGGCTCCTCTAGGTGAAAAGTTTAGGCAGAGAAGGAATAAATATCAGGATATAAATTCCCTTAATCAAAAATCTACTCTGAAATCTGAAGTTCATTGTGAGGTAGCCATGGCTGAGCTTCATTATGAGGGGGAAATTTTAAATTACTTTTGATAGTTCACAAACTCAAATGGGTTGTGGAAAGTAGGAAAAGACTTTAAAGAAGGGAGCAAGGAGAGTGCCTTGTTATTCTGTGGCATTACAAAGCAGTCTGAAAGTTGTGGGAAAGGCATACTGCAATGATAAACCTGGAAAGGCAAGGGCTTTGAGACGATACTGGTTGTACAACATAGTGCAGGATGGGGTAGGAGTTGGCACAGAGCTCAGGACTGGAGACTCTGGCCCGTGCTGTTTGAAGGGGTGGTTCAGAGGATGCAAATGAGTTTTTTCCATTTGTGAATTTCTTATAATTACTTACATCTCCTTAGACTATCCCCCCCCCCAATATTTTAGGGTGCAAGAACCTCTTTGCAACCATCTCCCATAAAAAATTAACGACTTAGGGAAAAAAGAATGCTATGAACTTTATGGCAGGAAAAGCTTTTTTGTCTGTTTTGGAGAAATGACGATCTGTTTGTTTTTATTCTTATTAAGCAATTATTCTTATTAAGTAGGGAAGTGACTTACGCTGGCATTTCTAAGAATGCATTAAGAAGTGTTTCCAAGGAAGCTACTTTATTTTCAGGGAACTGCAGCTCCAATACTGGATTTTATTCTTAAATTGTCTTTGGTGTGAAAAGTGAAGAAATACTAGTTTCACAATTATTCTTAATGATACTCTGTTAAATAAGATATACTTAAATAGTTATTTCAGACCAGTCCAACCATGCTTATTTATACGGTGTCACACTGGTTTCAGTGATTCTTACTTCCAGCCAAGTATGCTTAAATGGCAATGCTAAACATTTTATAGGGACTGAATTTTCAAAACTTAACTTGAATTTATCTGGATACACTACCATTTCCACTAACAGGGCTGTTTTGAAAGCAAGTCTTCTTGATGTCAGTAGATCTAGTCCCCAACAGAATGCATTTGTTTTAACTGAAGCGACTCCTAAATGGATATAAAAATTCAGGTGGGTAGCCATGTTGGTCTGAAGCAGCAGAACAAAGTTTGAGTCCAGTGGCACCTTTAAGACCAACAACATTTTATTCAAAGTGTAAGTTTTCATGTGCAAAGCACACTTCGTCAGACAGTTGTTCTAAATGGACATGTTTAGGAGGACTGGGGTGCTTAAGAAGTAAATAAAGTTAAGTTTTAAGTATCCACTAGTGTGTTTCATTTCCCTAAAACACTTCTGCGTGATTTTTTAAAAATAATAAACTGCACTTTAAAAGTTTGGCCATGTTACACATCTGGCACAGCAGTTGGGTGAAGTCCGACCTAATTTGGCAGTCTCGCTAGCCTGGGATACCTTGGGAGGCACCAAGCCTCCCAGTTTCCAATCAACCAGCCTTTTCCTTCTCTTGCTGCTCCCCCCGCCTCTCCCAAGTGTTCTTGTCTGGTTCTAGCCCTGCAGGAAAGACCTGCGATTCTGTCTCAGCCTCGTGCCGGTCTGCGGGCCAAAAGAGCGCACGGAAAGCGGCAGACGGCGTCTTTTCTTTGGTTCAGCTGGGTCCAATAAAAGCATTTGGACCAGATCGTGGCAAAATTGCTGGGGCGATTTGGCTACTAATCTGAGCAACTGAGGAGTTAGCTTCAGGAGGCATACATTCTTTCAAGACCCCGCTGCAGCGCGAGAGGATTTGACCGTCAGAAAGACTGTGATCACGGGTGGAAAGCCCAGGCACAGGGGCTGCTCCGAAAAACCCCTGCCGGCTTCCAAGACATCCTCTGCAATTTCCCCTCCTCGGACAAATGGACAGAAGAGTCTTCTTGCTGCCTCCTTGGCAGCTACCCAATTCACCCACCTGCCAGCTGGAGCTGATAAAACAGGGCTGATGGGCTCATTCTACTTCTCCAGAGAGTAGAGACTATCAACTATCAACCCAATGAAAGGGGTCAGGAGACGCAGTTCGAACCCACAATCTCACCTGTTTTCCCTCCCCTCCCCGTTCTCCGGAATACAAGGCTGCACTGAATTGGGGCAGGGAAGGGGGGGCTTAACTTGCGAGGAAAGGACGGGAAATTAATTTCCTGCCAGGCTTAATGTAAGTAGCCGAAATACTTGGACTGAGGCCTATTTGAGGCCAAGTGGGCTGAAAACGAGGACACGAATGAACTGCGTTGCGGGAAGAGCCCCCCCCCAGGGGAGGTAAGGGGAACGGGGTAAACAAAGGGAAAATGAAAATGAATATTGT